TCTCTCGCGCCGACAAAGTCGATTGCTCTCGAGCGTACGTATGCGTCTTACGCCCACTTCGACTTCTACTGGGTTTCCGGTCTTTAAAATAGATACGAATCGTCCCACGTCCTTCCGCCGTTGCTCCGCTTGCTCCTGGCGCATCTTCCCCGCCGTTTATCCCACGTCATAATCTCCGTGGGCGCGGAGATGCTTCTGCGCCGAGCATCATCGACGGGCCACCATCCTTGATCCAGAAAGCAGCAGTATCTTCGTCCTATCCGACGCTCCGACGGCATTCCTGCAGAATCGGATCGTTTGACGAGCCACCTGTAGCGCGAAGGGCTAGTGCCAGCCCTTCTCCAGGACGAGCACGATCTTGGTCGCCTTTTCGGCACGACTTGATCCATATCGCCGTCCGTATCTCGCGCGCACAGCTTTTTGACCTCTGGCTATATTTACGTCGTTGTCGTAAAGGCATCTCGATATAAATATCTCGTTTAGTATTATGCGCGCTATGAATATTAGATGTTTTCGTCAATACACTGCACCGGGTATTATCGGATTATTCATAGCGGATATTTATTGTCCGATATGTTTAAATTGTGAAGGACAAGGTGGATATACGCAAATGATATCATGAGTCACGCGAGATGCACTCGGCGATCTATCGTTAAGCGGAAAGACTTGCTATCAAATACCGTCTATACGTATGTACGTATATACATATATATACGTCAGCGAATGATGGAGTATTTACATAGCAGTTTCCAAGTTTTAAATACATTTTCTCTTCGTTCATTTATTGATCCTCCGCATACAGACGACGTGTTTTTCACGATACATGATTTTTATATCACTGAATATTTTTACGTAATCTAACATTGATATTTTGTATGAGCATATATCACTCGTATTACAATGCTGAGGTGGAGATATGCATTTTTGCGAGCCATTTCATGTGATGGGTTAGTAATATATTAAACTCGCCCTAAGATGCTTATCATCAGGCGGTTAGAAAAAAATGTTCTTATTTAAAATGAAATAAAATCTTGAAATTCTGGAAAAGTTAAGTGCTGTAAAAAACATACGTGTTTCACATTACACATTTTTTTCAAGCAACTTTGAAACATTCCTTTATATATCTCTTCTGTTTTGAGAGATAATAAAAATTATAATTTTACCTTTTGTCGTTTCATTTTTATGTATATTGTAATATCAAGAAATGAAAAAAGAAAATATGCAATTTTTTATTTATTAGAGGAGATTTTTCCGTCAGATAGAAAGAAGAAGAAAGTGGTTCGAACTTTCGGTTTACGAGGCATAGCCCATTTCGAATTCTCGGGGTGCCGTACACGATCTGGCGCGAGCATTGTCGAGGTGCGGAAGGTCATGCCGGGGGATGGATGTGGTTTAGAGGGTCGTGGGAAGGGAAACGGGGTCATCCTTCGATAGCTCTTGTGGCCGCTCTATGCGTGCCATTGGACCGTCGCGCAAGGTGCTGCAGACGATTAATTCCGCGGAAGTACGCTTCTGGATCTCAAAAGGCGTTTCCGAACGATAATTGGCAAGATGTTGAGTAATTTATGACGAACAAAATCGGGACATCCCCTTAGGAGTTTGTCCAATATTTCATATACTGATACTGTATTACGTGTCCAAATATATAACTGTATGTCTAATTACGTTTTCTTAAAATAAAATTAATAAATAATTTAAAATAAAAAAAGAAAGGAGAAAATAAATAAATAAATACCTAAGAAAATATTTTTAAAAAGCTGTAGTAAACCAGACAAGGACATTGTTTTTTTATTCTACAAGTCTTCTGTCTGATTAACGACCAAATAATATTTAAGAGACAAATATCGAAAACTAATAGTGATACTTTCCTGTGTTGCAGCAATGCGCCCCGCACGACAAAGAAAGCGACTACTGGGGTGGCGGCCGAGGCGCGAAACAAGGTTACGAGGTGAGACAACCTACTTGGAAATATTTTAGTGGTCTATTTCATATACGTAGTCGTCGTGCTAATTCTACTTGGTGAAGCGCAGCACTTTCTGTTGCAGGCGAAAATGAACGCGGACCACGGTCAACTACAGAAAGGTGAGTCCAATGTTAATGCGTATGTTTTCGTGTATTTCTAATTCGGGAAAATTGACGTTTTCCTTCCATTATTTAATCCGCGAACCATCAAGGCTAAACTACACATGTAATTAAGGCTAAGCTATATATGATAGAGAAATAGGACGACATGATGTGAACATCTAGACAAAAGACGATGTTTTACAAAAGCGATCATCTAATCTAACGATCTAATCTAAAGTTAATGGAACTCGCGTTTTTTTTTCATCAATAATTTTTGCGCTATAAATACACGGTTAACGAAATCTCGTGGTTCAATCAATATTGTAAATTTTATTTCAACAGATTTGTAATTAAAATTTTATTGATCAAAATACTTGATGCTGAAAATAGAATAGTCGTAAAGAAAATACCGTTTAATCAAAGGAATTTTAAGAAAGAATCGATTATAAATTCCTTGAACAATACGCAGTCAGATAAAAATGATTAATATCTCTGAAACGTTTTGTGCATCATCTTGAATAGCAAGAGATTGAGGACTTGTTTACCTGAAAAATAGGGTCCGTCGTGGGCACTTAAATCACGCGGAGCTTCAACCGAGACCTCGCCAAGACCGTTTCGGTGTCTGTTGGCGTCGCGACCTCGCGTCAGATGCAAACACTTCCTAAGACCTAACCGCTGGTCGGGAACCGGTTGTGACTACGTGCGTGACGTAAGACCGCCGATTAGGAGCGAAGAAAAAAAAGTAGAGACGCTGCATCGAGCAAATAAAAATAAAAAAAGAGAAAAAAAAACGCACGAATGTGAATTTATTATCGGACCGTATTAGATGCAGGGATCGCGCTCGTAAACATCCTTTTTAAAATTTAATATCTTATTTTTCGCTTGTTAACATCCTTTAATTCAGCTTCTTTCTTTCCTTCTTTCCTTGCAATCGGAATTTTGGAACTGTTTTTATTTAAATACGAGATCTGCAGCTTTTATAAATAGACAGACAGATAATGGACAGCCTTCTGCCATAACGTGCAAAGGTGCGCTCAAAAATCTCGAGGTGTGTCTTATGCAAAAGTTATAAAACAATTGAAAAACTTTTTAATGCGTGTAAAACGTAAGAATGATATCATATGTAATCCGTATTGAATTTTTTATATTTCGAAAATCGAAAAAGTCGATCACAATCAGAGGAGAGAGATAGACTGTTTTGAAAAAGTTATGTCTCTTATCAAACTCTTGAGGCGAAGGCTTCCGCGTGTAATGTAACCGATTTCAGGGGACAAATAGAGAAATCAATCGTAAGCACTTTTGATAATAATTTGCAGCAAATAAATCAGGCCGTTTCTTTTTTCCCGTCATCAAAAAAAATTAAGCAATCGGTGATCTCGTTCGTAAAAGGAGAGGCACATCTCAATGCGCCTTTTTCACTGTCAATGGCACGCGTGCTGACTGGCTTAGGTTGGCTGTTTACGAGATAAGCCTGCCACCCTTCCATTCCCGTCAGGATCGACGGACTCTCGTCAGTGATTCATGCCATAGAGAAAACGCAAACCTGTCAGGGATAAAAAAAAGTTGCGCGACCACCTGCGACATTTCCCTCGATATTGCCCTGTAATTTGACGCGTTTGCTTCCGTGACAAATATTATTTCAACTGTATCTGACGTATCATCATCCATGCAATACTACTAGTATGATAGTGTTAAAAAAAACTTTGTTTTTATTAAACAAAATTTATCACTGGTTCGGCTCTATTTACTTTATTTTTGTCTTTTTTTTTTACGTAATTTTTTACAGGTTTTCACAAGAGTAAACCTTCACCCTCTCTATTATTCGATACTTTCGAGCGATTCGTACTGCCGTCAGACATCTTGATACACCTGCGCGCCCTCAATTTTACATCTTATTCTAATTCACTGCCAATTTGATTCCTCTAGCCGCGTGCGTGTAATCATCATTACATCGCGTGAATATCTTTAACGTACTTTGTGCCCATCGGGCCCGATGTGGATGGGCCCTAAAATTAGCCGCCGGCCTGGCAATTGCGCAAAGATCCTCGACTATTCGTTAATGCACGGATCGCATGATGGCGAAATTTCGGGCCCCGTGAGGAGCCGCAGGAGGATGTGTGGGACGACGGAGCCCTCAAGGCCCCCTCGCGCTCGTCTCATTATCGTATTCGCTCGTCAAGTAATGCGAGTCGCTCGTTTAGAAATTCCTTGTCAGCAGCCTCCAGATCTGTCGCGATACGCCAGCTTCAAAGTAACGCGAACGGGATGTGTCGTAACGTGTATGTATGATTTATTCGGTGAATATATATTTTGATGAAACAAATTAGAGGTTTGTGTGAGTGAGTGTGTGTATATGTGTGTGATGATCTACTGTAAAAATAACTAATTTGAGGAAGTTGTTGGAAGATTGCTGTGCTGATTAATGTCTTTCTAAAATTTTATTCAATCTAAACTGAATAATTTCTCACGATCATATTTATCTCTGAAATTTGTATAAAAGAGTCATATTAATTGATTGTTGAATTAATAAAATTCAATTATATTTGTGGTGGTCAAATATTGTTGATGTAACATGATCTTTTTTTGTGTGTGCAAGTGTCTCGAATTATTATAGAATTTATGCATCCTCTCGAAATTGCTCGACATGACGATCGAAGGGAATATATTAATGCAACACGCGGCTCACCTATGATTCGTGCTCTCTTGATCACTCCGTAATTATTGGAAACTATTTTCTCTTCCGAGCTGTTAGGGCGAAGAATCGGATTACGCTAATCTTAAGCGGATTATAAAAAGCGACTTGAACTTCCGTCTCTTAACGGGTTAATGGAGTTTTTTGCAGCAAGTATCAGCAAAGGTACTTTGGTAATAATTTTATCGGCAACTTCCTACCACTCTGATGGAAGATCGTGCCGTCTCGTGTTGCTTTGTAATATACATAAATGAAATATTGGCGAGCGAGCAGAAAGCGAGAAAAGCACTATTCTCTTTTAATAACGAATGTTTTCTGCGCCTGCTTTTCTCTCGAAACTCTTTTCGCGCGAGCGAATATACGAGAAAACGGATTGCATTCGTATTCGAAGGGGTAGGAATCGGCTCGTAAACAGGTCGATAAAAATCCGACTGTTTCTACGTAAACAGACATACGCGGAAATCGGACCGCGTGTTCTGTCAAAACCTCGAATACGTGTGCACATATATCAAAATTTGGCATCTTATTCCACGAGCTTCTTCTCAAATCGAGCACGCGCGCGGTACTCTGCTATAATAATCATAATATATATTCGAGGTTTTTATTCAAACAAATGGGAGTAATTAAATTAGAAGAAAAATTAAGAATTGAAACAACTGTTTTTTGTTTGATATCCAATAATTTATCGTACAGAACATTTATTCCCGGCACGCGGATCAAAGTATGTTGTGCAAATGCAGGTCGTGTTGGAACGTGGCTCGAATTCGGTTACAACGTGCTCCCGCCACGGGTTACAACGTGTCGAAGAGTTCGAGGTCAATTAAAAGTTGGAGTCTTCCGTGTCCATGGACAGAGAGTAGAGAAGGAAGAAAGATGGGGGCAAAAATGAGAAACAGAAATTTCTAGCGAGGGATCATCTCGTTTAGCTGCTATATTTCACGTTTTTCTTGAGAGCAAGAAATTTACTGCCAATTAAAGTACTCTATGGGTCCTTTCAGCGATTGGCAGACAATATTTGCTTCAGTAAACTCTGGTCCAACGTTCTGCATCGGTTGTTAGATGCGGTCTAAAGTTCGTTCGTTTTGTATTGTTGAGAATTTCACTATCTATTAGCAATTAAACGAATTATAAAAGAAATTTCGAAAAGATTCTAGTCTTTTAGAAGTTGTGGAAAATTCTAAAACTATTTTTCGATTTCTAGAATTTGTGTAAAAGTAGATGGCGGTTTTTTTTGTAAAATTTTCATTGGCGACAATAATGGACATCATTACTCATTCGCGTCTTTAAACCTTAATTCACGAAAAACTCTTTATTTTCGTCGTTCAAAAATTTTACATTTTGCAAAAAGGTTGGCGACTCTAAATGCAACGAGGAATAACATTAGGTGTTTATTTTTCAATTTTGCAACATTTTGTATGTTTCTCTGAACACCGACGGTAACAATACCGTTTAGAACTGCACAACTCGTTGAATTTGGGCAATGCTATTCTCGTATTCGCCTATCACTTTTACATTTCTCGTGTTGGCGCGGAAAGCCGTAGCGCTGGCTCCAGAACGGCTACGTTTGACGAGAAAGAATACGTTAATTCTGTTTTCACCATCTACGTTAACTCCCGCTTAAACGAGAAATACAAAAATTTTTACCTTGCCCAGCGAGTGAGCGAGTTGCACAGCTCTGATTTAGAATAAAATGTTGCAGTCGCCGTCTGGCGATCGTCTAGTTTCCACGATCAGTACTTGAAATGTTTTTACGGCTTCTCAACTCTCGCTTTCCTTCTCCGCCCTTATTTTCTCGTCACCGTCTCAGTTTGACGGCTCTCTCGGAGATTTTACCATGAGTATAGTATCCCTTCATGTTCGCACTTTACGACGTCGTTTCGCGATTTTATATCGCGCCGTTGCGGGTTTCCATCGATCAGAAACGAGTCGGCTTGCGCTTTTACAAGAAACCATCTTAGTGAAAACGATCTCATTTCGTGATTCGCGCCGATCGTAACATTATCAGATATTACGTAACAGGATTGTAACGCGAAAATTAATTCGCTTAATGCGCGCAAACGGACAGGCTAATGACGTTCATTTTCCGTCAATAACAGACGTCGCGTCGACGATAAATAAACGCGGCGATAAATCAGCTTTACGAATGGGAAAAAGGGCGCTGTAAATTTAAATAAACGTGTGAATTGAGGATTTGGCGAGGAGGACGAATGGCCTACCCGGAACCACGAACGGCTCGCATCGCGGACGGCGCGCGATTATCAAATAGATTTTGCGTCCGCAACCGAAAATTAATCCCGCCACTCATCGGCTGTCCCGTTATTGTCGC